TATGGCTATACAGCTAAATAAGCTGATGGTTGGAGAGTTTTGATGCTGGGATCCCAGCTGAGTATATAGATATCTGAACGTACCTAGTTGTTATCTAATTTTTAAAATAGCCTTACAGATGGCCTTTTTTCTGGAAGCCAAATCTGATACTTTGGGCCTTTAGGCATTTAAATAGAAATTACTAATCACCATTGCTTCCTACTGGGTTCAATAGGATGTGAAAGCTAGGCTGATACATCTTAGGTGCCCCAAAACAGGGAGTAGGAAGCAAACACAGCTCTGAAAATTCTTGACTTCATGGTGTGGTGGGAGAGTAAAAATTGCTTGTGATGTTGAAATTAATCTTGGGTGTTCTTTGTTAAATTTAATCACTACTCATGCAATATAGCATGGGGGACTTTCTACAGGGAGTTATAACAGCTCTTCTCAGAAAAAGGTTGGCTTTTTCTTGTCAGCTGTGACATTCAGGAAAGTAAACTTCTTGTTACATATCTACAGCTATCTCTGCAATACAGGAAAAAAAAAGAACCAAAACAGTTGCACAAAATAGTTTTTAATCGGCAGTGTGCACTCATACTAACTTTTCAAAGTCATGACTTCAAAGCAGTCAGCTCTACAGAGAGGATTAGACACACAGAAGAAAGTAATTTTGTGTTCTTTCCATGCATAAAAACCAGAAAATAAGCATGGCAAAATAATCGTATGCCAGTGCAGTGGAAGATTGGAGGAGATTTGATAGCCACTACAACTGTTACATCTGGGATCCCATTATATTTTTAAAGATACCAATACATTCAAGTTAATAATTCACATGCACTCCAATATTCTGAATGCTGTGTATAAGGATATCTTACTGCAGGACAATGAAGAATAATAGGAGTATTCACGCATTCAGTGTGAAATAATTACAAAGTATTAACTCAGCTTTTCCAGTATCATCTCGTTGCATGTTCAGACTTTACAAAGTGAGCAAATCATACCTGCCATGATGAAATGGGTAAGGAATGAGCAGGAATGAGAAGCTTTTTTAATAAAAACCTGTAGAAAGAATGGCTCTGCGAGGCGTGTATACTGTCTGCACAGCTCCACCCCTCCTCCAAACTCGGTTTCTGCCACTGCTACTCTACAATGGTGAGGTCCTGTGGATGCATCAACGTAAGCACAGCTGCCCACAGTGTGCATCCCTACAAGTAACACAGCATTCACACTTCCTTCTCCACACATCTCTCTTGCTCACACACATCACGACATTGGCTTCCACTAGTAATACGCTGTCTGTAGACTTGCCATGGTTTAACCTGGGTGCACGCTGCTCTTTCCGCCTGATGACGGAAAGAGAGATGAGTGAAAGATGGAGTTAATAGATTTGTTGACAGGAGCTAGGTCTCCCTTACATGTCAGGCAGTGGAGCTGTGGCATGTTTCTGCCACTAGCATTTTTGCACAAGTTGTTTCCTCACAGAACATGCATTAATTCAAACAGCCTCCACCTACGACTAGAACTCCATCAGTTTGCAGAACTCTAAGGCTGCAAAGAGGGCATGTTGGTGCTCCTTCCTTGAGCATCCAGTGCTATAAACACTGCTTGAGCAGATCTTCTAGCATATGCACAGACTTTATGCAAATATTATTCTGTGCAGCAGTTTGCCTGACTCTTTCTAACATACTTTTTATTATCTTCCTTTTTGTATTTCCTGTATTTCCTACAATAGCAAAGAGAATTCACAACTTTGTCCTGTGTGCCAGTATGCATATATATATATATATATGTATATATATATGTATCCTGGTAAGACAATAAGGCAGTTAGCATAGCATATACAAAAAGAAACAGGTATCTAAAGAGAAGATCACCACCTATAACCACAAGAGAGAGAAACAGAGAGAGGTACACAGAAGTGTAACAGGAAGAAAACAGCATTAAGAGAAGGAAACAGCATACAAGGGGAAATTCCTGTCAGTCAGCGCTATTAGATGGTGAAATAGATACCTGGGCAGGGAAACATAAACCCATTGCTCAAAAAACTTTAAATGAAACTTTATGCATCGCTTCATCAAAAAAAAAAAAAAAGTATGCAGAAGCATAGACAGCACAACAGAAATGTCTATGATTTACATATTTGAATACATGGGTTTGATCACCTGGTGGCATGCAAGGAAAGGGGATGATGGAAAGCAGACCTCCAGCAGCAGAGCCAGAAGCACCACAGCTCTGTGACTCCACTTCATGTCCTGCACCTCCTGCTCTGTCACCAGGCTGGTTCGCATCCTGGAGAACCACCTCTGTTATTAATAACTATTCACCTCAATCTCCTCATCAGAGCCCCTTGATGTGGCCCAAGGTGCACTGGGCACACAGGTCCCGAACATGGAAAGTGACTGCTCCCACCCTCCAGATCCCCCAGATACCTGACAAAACACCCTGGACATCTGGGGATCCAACTAACACCTCCCAACCAGCTGTCCCCATCACAGTCGGTAACACCCAAGCCTACTGCCTATATTTAACAACTCTATAGTTGCCCCTTCCACAGTTATATCTCTGTACATGTAAAGATGAAGTCCACTTCTATCAGTAGATACCAGCTGCTGAATTTTTGCTACGTTAAGCAGTGTTGATCATTATGGATATTCACAGCAGCACATAACTTGCAGGTTACAGCTGCCTTTGGCTACAACGCCATATTAATAACGCTTGCAGGCTAACTCGGTTTAATGCTATTTGCGTTAGAGTATAGCTCCATTGAGCTGGAAGGGATTTCAGGAGAATCGTCTAGGTCACTAAAATAAGAAATTGTGTCCCCTCATGAAGCACAGCTCACAGCTTCACAAGGCGACCAGGGAGGTGACAGTCAACCTCCCGTCTCCTAAGTGACTGGCGGCAACATCCTCACCAAGGGTATTTTGATGTTGCCTCATGAATTTCATTGTTTGCTGCAGAATGTGTTTCTTCCATAAAAGCTGGAAGGTTAAACTTCCTACCAGGTAGCTACCTACGCCTACTGTCTCAGCCAACAGATCGGTGGTGCTTCTTCTCTGCTGTACTTTAATTGTATATGTAATTGCATACCTGCTTGAGAACTTCCTTTGATCTTCTCAGGCTTTTGTTTAAACCAGTCAAGGCTGTAATTTACTGCTTACACTTTGCATAAAAGTTGGTTTCAGGACAATTCACTTGAATCTGCTCTTGGTTCTGACTACCGAGCGGAGAACAGAAATATGTTTCTCGGCTGCAAAACCACTGAAAACAAAGAAACCTGCATTTGCTAAGGGAAAAACATTAAGATGTGTAATAAAGCATCCAGGCTTGGTCTTTTCTATGTATCGAGGCAATTGCCTGAAAGGCGGTTTCTGTTACCACAGCTGCCAAATCTGTTCACTCTCTTAGCTCCTCCATATGACTTTTCTCAGAGTCCTAGAGCAGACACCCGTTGATGAGCGCGAGTTAAGTAGAAAACCAGGCTGTGCAGGAACTCCTCAAGTGCAAGAAGGACTAATACTTGCAGAGGTCTGAGGCCACCTTAGTGTTTGCTTCAGCCTGAACTCTGGCTACATTGCTGTCCTGCCGCCTCCCCAGGATGCAGTGACAAAGACCAAGCCACGCTAGATACCTCCTGCCCAAGAGGAGTGTATTCCGGGAACGCTGGAGCCAAATTTGAACTTCCCTGACAATGAAGCCAAGAGCAAGCAGCTTCTCAGAAACTGCAGCCCTTGGAGATACCCCATGTAGAAATGACCACTTTTCAGCAAGCGCTCCTGTTAGTCACTGCGAGCCAGCCTGGAGGAAGTGTAATTGCAATAACTTGAGTATTTTTAGTGTCTATGGAGGAAGCAAGTAGTTCGGCTTTCTCGCTCTCTGGACAAGGGAGCTTTACCATGCCATTGTAATGTCAAGTCCCAGAGCACACATGCAGATTGCGCACAGAAATGGGGCATTGTTTTTGGTTTTAACATTGGGCCAAATCACCCGTATTAACTTTCCATGACAGGATCTCTGGAAAATAAGGCCACACCATCCTTAAATTGTTTTGGATTTCATTTGGTGTTGTCACGCAATTAGGTTTTGCAAAATTGGCTTCTGGAGTGACAGCTTCTATTGTTACAGCATATGGCAATCAGAGAACAGCTTGTAGCAGATGTCATATTTATTCACTATTAGCTAGTTTTAGATTTAACAATGTCATTCTAATGAAAGCAAATGTTAGATGCATTTGACATCTAAGGAGTTCTGCAGCCCCCACTCCCCCATCATGTTTAAAGCTGCTTTTGTCAAGTAGAAACACAGCAGCTCTGAATGAGTCTCACTAAGTCATATTTAAGAACTAATGATGCAATTTAGTGGAGGTCTGTATTCCAAAAAAGCCACATTTCTAACATGGATTGTGTTCCCTCAGCAGACCAGAAAGACCACCTATTACAATAAGTGAGCTCATTAAGCATGCAGCTCCTTAGTCTCACAAGCTGTTGCAATAAACAGCTGTTACAAGAGGGTAAAAGGTAGAATTATCAACTCAGAGAGCACAGCTCTCCGCTTGGCTGGCCCAGAAGGGAAAGTATTTCAGCAACAGCTCTGTTGCTCTGGAGTATACCTGTGACTCCAGCACACAAGCAATTATCAGTGGTATTTCAGAGACATGCTTCCCCACCCAGTAAGCAAGACACTCCCAGAAATGAAATGTCAAAAATTTATTATGAAAGCTTCGATAGCAGAAAAGATCTCAATAAAAATTAAACCAGTTCTGCAGAGCGACCCAAGAGGTCTGTTGAAGTCTGTCCACTTTGGAGTCTCTATATTCGTCTGAGTAACCAGTCCCTAGTAGCCCATCAAATATTGAAGCTTTCTTCTCTCTGCATTTTCTAGAGAGCACCAACAGTTCCTAGTTACAGTACTCTGTCCAGTCCTTCTTGAAAGTTTTAGCCCACTTCCCCCAACTTTCTCTCTGCCTTCTGAAACAGCTCCACTTGACCAGGAAACCTGCAATACTTCTTTCAGTTCCATGGTATGTCAGCCTCTCCACGGTTGCAGCCTACTGAGGCTCACTGGTGAGGCGAACTGTTCTCTTCTTCCTCCTCCATAAGAGCCCACTGCATGCCAGTCTGAGCGACTTTAATCCAGTCTCTTGACCAGGCTAATCCATGGAATCAGCAGCTTGTTGCACACTTCGGTGAACCCACGCCACATTGAGAATGCAACAAAGGTTTCAGCCTTCCCAAATGCACTGGGTCACCATCACTCAGGCAGGGTGATAGTTGGCACCCAGTCATTGACATTTCGGCTCTCTTCACAAAATGAGTTCAGCTTTTCTAGAGCTGGGTCCTTCCAGCCATCTTCATTTGGGTTCTGCTAGAAAGAAAAAAAAAAGAAGTTGCACACCATGAGCAGTGCCTGCCAGCTGAGGTCACCACAATATTTACAGAAGCATTAGCTTAGGAAGCAAGGCATTTTCAGATGGTTTCTGTCTGACACAGACAAAGCAGGAAGCAAAGATGTTACCCTTGTGGACAAGAGAGGAAATCCACACTTACGAGAATTGCAGCCTCTTACTGCCACTTAGCTGACTTGCCGAACAGTGCGTGCCAAGCCCCCTTTCTTTGCCCAAAAGAGGATTCGACTACCAGGGCCACCCCAAAAGGCTCTACCCATCCCGTGCCACAGCCAGTAAGCGCAAGCAGCACAGCCCCGCGGGGCAGCGCGCCGCACACCCCTCGTCTCCTGTGGGACACACACCGTGATGAGGATGCAGTGCAGGTCCCGCGGCTCCCCGGACTCCTCACTGGGCCCCACAATGGCAGCCAGCTTGACCACATCGTTCACCCGCACGATGTCAATGTCATTCTCACAGCAGAAGGCCTGGATCAGGGTGAAGTGGATCTGCAGGGCAATGTCCCCCTCGTCCTCCTCGTCCGCAGCAAGCACGCAGAAAGCGACGTTGTCGGGATGACTGCAAAAGGGGAGCGGTGCGTTGAGCCCCACGGCCGGCATCACC